AGGTAATGAGGAGGATCAGGCAGAATTAGTAGTTAAGCAACATACACATAACCGATCACGTCAGCGGAGGGTTGTCTGTAGAAAGCTTCATCTGCCACCCTAGGTAGCAAGTTGTCCAACAGGCAGGCAAGCAGTCAGGAGAGAAGAGAGAAGGATGAGAGGCAGAGAACGCAGTGGAAGGCATTCCAACAGGCACGTTCTCCTGGCACAGCCCGCAGAGCATCTTGGGAAACGCTGCCCTGTCCCCCCAGCCCTCCTTCCCCAAAGCTGAGCTGTAAATCTGCTCGCTGAGGACAAACCTGTCAGCCAAGCTAGGTAAGACAAAGGCTTTTCTGAAATACTGTCCGGCTCAAGTTCTGTGGGCTGCCAAAGCTTAAGGCAGGCCAAATGACCTGGAGAGAGTGGCACTGCAAACCCTTACACAAGTGCACATCTAAGTGGTATTCAGTTAATATCATCATATTTACTTTTATAAAACTTGAAATCCAAATCCCCCAAGGGGGCCTCTAAGAAAATCTAATATTGTCTTGGACCTGCAACCCAATCTGATCACTTCGAACTCACAGTAAGCCAGCTCAGCCCCCACACGTATGGCTTAGATAGAACCAGCGCATCGTTCTGTGCTGGTGGAATGGAGCCAGGTTCCTCCTCAGGCACTTCCAAAAGGAGCTGCCCAAGCTCTCACAGTGTTGCATGCAGCAAAGTGGGCAGAGGTGGAGCAGAAGGGCCCTTCCACGTGCAAAGGGAGCAAGCAGGAGTGCCAGTTCAGAGGTGGCTACAAGCACCAAGGACCTGTTGTCCTTGGACATTCAAGCTAGCTTCTCAGACAAAACATCATCCGGCCCTCCTGGAGCCCTGCCCCGCAGCAGGAACAGTGACCTCGGCACTGGTGCTGCGGGAACCCTCCCCTTGCAGCAGGGCCACAGCAGCACTGCAGCCCGGGCACAGCCAGGCTCCTTACCTGTTGCTGGCCTTGGTTTTCTGCAGCTTCTCATCTTGCCTTGCATACCACTCCTCCAGCTCTTTTATGGCCTTCTCCTTCCACTCGGCCTCCTGCTTTCGCGAGTTTGCATCTGCAGAGCCAAGAACGGATCCCTCAGTCGTGCTGACAGGCCCTTCCCAGGGCAGGCGGCCCTGGGCCCCAGCGAGTCCGTGCGGGCATTTAATCCACACAGCTCAGCAGCTTCCTGAGGCAGAGCACTGCAGCCCCGCAGGCCGCAACACGCAAGCGCTGGCTAGCCAGGGGCTAGCTGGGGGATTAACATCCCTGCGGCCACAGATGGCCTCAGTGGCCTCACCAATTCCAGTATGAGCAAACACCATCCTTGGGGGAGGGCGGAAAAGAATCACAGTGGATGTTGGTGGCGCTCAGACACCTGTTTGTGCTGGTAAAAGCTGCTCCCTTTCTGTCTAGGATTGAGCAGCAGCCTACGGGCAAGCACGAAGCAAGACTCCTGCGCCAGTGCTCAGAGAGGCACTTGGCTGCTCACTCATATGTCCAAGCTCGCTGCCTGGCTAGCCTGTGGGATCTCCAGGAGCTCTGGGAAGCTCCACAAGGTGTCCCAAGTAAGAGCCCTCCTTACCGAGCTGCTCGAGGCGCTCCTTCTGCTCCTCCCGCCACTTGCGGATGCTCTCCGGCTCCGAGTGCAGCCGGTCAGCGTGCGAGATGGCGGCGTAGCAGTCTGTGGGACCGTTGCTCTCCTGAAAAGGAGGGGGTGGGAGTGTTACACCAACGGCAAAACAGCAGGGTTCAATTACCGTCTGCAAGCAGCACAAAGTCAGACATTAATTGAACTGAGCACTCACATCCGAGTGCATGTTTACTACTAAGATGAGAAACTATGATCACGGATTAGGGCTTATTTTAGGCAAATTAACACAAGGCTATCTTGGGTAAGTTGGGAACAAAACTTCAAGCTGGCTGGGAAACCTTGCTGTAAGAGAGCTTTAAATGTGGAGAAAGGCAGCAACCAGCACTGTAGTATGCAACTGCAGGCTTGGAGGTTGTCCACTTCGACTCACCCTAAGCACTGGTGGTGAAAATAAATCTTTCCAAACTTCTATCACTGTGCACAGGACTTCACTGCTGCGCGCCGTAACTTTTGTTCATTTTCTGCTTAAGGGAACTTTACAAGCCTTAATTAAAAGGCAACTTCCTAAGAAGATATTACATAATCTGGATTGCTGCATGCAACTCAGAACACAGGATGCAACTCCAAACTGAGCTTCAGAATAGTGCACACACTAGGATATATTTTAACATAAAACATGCTCAATCAGCAAGGCTGTTGCTAGTGGATTGGTCTCCCAAATTTGCTGAATGCAGCATTTGCCACAAAGGACAGTTTACGGGCTCATCCTTCTCCTAACAGAGCTAGGAAAACCCACTCCAGAAAGCACCGACTGGATCACAGCCAGCAGAGGACCTGGTTGTGTCCTCTTTGTGAGGGCTGCAGGGGTGCCAGCAAAGAAAGCACAAGCAGAACACCACAAATAAACTGCCAGAACTCAAAGGTATCCAAAACAAAGACTGCACAGACTAGTTCAGGGACAAACAAGTTACAGGAGCTAACGGAAAAGTTATGTAAAAGTTATGTACAGCAACCCTTTTCTATCAGTTAGCTCCTCAGAAGCCCCGTCTCAGTCAGAGAAGCAGGACGCATGACTTATCCTTATGGGATAAGCAATTTAAGAGACTAGGCATACAGAGCTGCTTGTATTGAGCTCATCCACCATCAGACACAACCTGTCCATGACCCACAGTGGTTATGCTGTAAGAAGCCACAATGCAAAGCAGATGGCTGCTCCAAATTGACTTTGATCACATTAGAAGCATTAATAGCTTTGAAACGAGGTAACAGAAGCGCCGCTTCGCAAAGGAGACAAGCACATTAGAGAAGCCATGGAAAATGCTTGTTTACATAAAAGTTGCAGCGCAGTACAACAACACACTGCAAATACAAAGTAATTCCATCTTACCTGGTAGACTTCTCCATTCACTACTTCATCAGCCCCTGCAAAGAAGGGACCGTTGGTTAGTGAGCTCCGTAATTGGCTCGGAGAGACCTATCACAGCATCTAGGAGAGCAGTTGGGCAAGCGTGGCGCCACTCCTTGGAACGCACTGATCCCTCTGTCACACTGTGGGTACTCCTAGTTCTCACACAGCTCTAAGGACGGGATTAGCACTTCTAGCAAAAGCTGCTCCCAGCCTTTGGAGGGCTCCCCGCAGCATGATCCTCCAAAGGGACACGGCAGGAACGGGAGTAGGACAACAACTTGAGCAGCTTGGGATGGAACCGTACAACAAGGGAGCGGCAGGGAGCGTCTCCCAGCTGCAGATGAACGAGACTGATGCAGTGAAACTGTCCAGATCTCAAACAAACACCAAGGCACCCAGACCCTGCACAGCAGCCAGGCTCCAGGAACATGGTGTCCCAGGAAAGGACAACACAGCCTGTTTTCTAATAGACTCCTGTGCCTGAAGGATGATGGTTACTCCATCTGCTTGCTGCATTTCTGGAAGCTGCAGAACGTGTACAAGAGGCACACGAAGGTGACAGGATCAGTTTGCTTCGCAGTCGTTACCCTGAACATCACTAAATACCAAGGTGGAAATCTCCTCTTACATGTACTGTTCACACACCGACTGGGGCAGGTACAATTAACAGCAGCCCACAGGTGACACGCTTGGCCGTGATTCCCCTTCACTCCAATCCTATTAGGGATGGATGTCTGTGCACACAGCAGTGCCCCTTCCTGCACGTCCCACAGGTGCCAACAGCCGGGATGGGCCTCTCTGCCTGCCTGGGAAGCAGTGAGGCCCTGTGCTTGCTGCTGCACGGCCCTACGGAGCCTCCCAACAACCCAACGGGGCACGAGCACGGGCCGACCCACGAGCTTGGAGGATCACTCTGTCTTGAAGGGGTCTTTCAAGAGCCCCGATAATACAGATGACTTTCTTATTACATCAGTGAAGGAAAAAATGCTCATAAAGATCTTCGGAGCAGAGGCTGGTAGTCAGAATTGCGAAGAAGGAGGGTTCTTGCCGAGACCTATGTGCATGTTGGCTGTTCTTGCGCATGGCAGTAGATGCTGGCCAGCACAGAGCCAGAGTGTTTTCTGAGAGCGCAGGCACCAGCAGCTTTTTGAGTTTTCACACGCATTTCCTGCAGCCTTGCGCAGAGCCTGCGAGTGGCCGCGGAGAAGGCTCCACGCGCGAGCAGGAGCGCTGGCAGCAGCTGCACACACAGCAAATACCCTCCTGTCCCAGCTCTCTGGGATTGCATAATTCATTGTAGCTGTGTTTGCCAGCGTGCACCTTGGTCAGGCTGATACAGGACACGTGCAGAAGCTGCTGCTGTGTGTGTTGACAACGGGGTATTCATTTCCACACAGCCTTGGCCTGGGAGGAAGGCGAGAGCACAAGTAGGCAAGCGCCCCGTGTGTGGGAGCGACTTACTTATCATTTGACACAAGAGTCTTTTCAGGGGTTCTTGCATTACAACGTAAGGAAACGCGGCAAAGAGAAAATTAAGTTTTTCTAGCTATACGCTGTCAAGCCCCTATGCTAAGCACAGACTAACAGATCCCAAAGAGTGCTCGTTTCCTCTGCCCTAGTTGTAATTCTGCTGCCACGTCCACAAGAACACAGCAATAACAAGCTCTCGTTGCCGCTGCACCTCCCGAGCCCGGCGCGGGTGCCAGCGCCGCCGAGGCTCTGTGTTGTGTTCCCCCATGACTGCTGCTGCACGTTGTAAAGGACAAGCCGGGCCTCCTTGCCGTCATGGGGATGACGGCCCTAGGCGCATGCCACCTGATGGGGTGGCCCCCTCCACGGGTCATGACAAGCCAGGGTCCAGCAGTCACCAGATAGGAACTGCTTCCACGGTGCGATTACCTACAGGGGGAAGCAACTCTACCCTAACTGTTTTCTCAAGATAACTGAGACTCCCTGCCAGACTAAGAAGCATTGCAAGTTTCCTATGGCTTACAGACAACCATGAAATGCAACTAGGTGCCTTAACCGCCCGCCACCCCCTCAGACTGGACCCATCCTGGCTTGCTGGGAACACGCTGCAAGGTAGCTGCAAGCAGACTTAACGCTGTAAGGCTGGAGAGGAGGGAGAAGCTCCACTCGCAATACGCACGGGACACCCCAACAGGCAACAGCTCTGTACAACCGTTTCCCACCTCCCGAAACTGTGCCTGTGCCTCATCTATGCAGGGAAAGCGCTGAGCTCGCTCTGCCCCTGCAGCTTGCAAGGCACAGTCCCTGGGTCACGGCCTTCCTTGAGAAATTTGGCACCGACTTCTCATTTGAGGCTCACATCTTCAGACCTCGTCTGAAAGCTGCCCGAGCAACAGCTTCTGCTCTGGCAGGGCTGCGAGTAAGGAGCTCAGAGAGGCTGCGGCTAAAATAAGCAAATCCCCAAATCCCCAGCCGGGATGCGCCGGG